AAGTTATTCATAGCAGGTTAAATACGAGCAATCAGTTTAGGGCAAAAACCGGAAATCAGTTTTTGGCAGACGATCATTTTTTGGCACAACATCGGTCATTCTTACACATGAACTGTATCATATAACATATATAAACTAAATATCTTTGAAACGTATAGAATCTAATCTTTTGTTTGTTTTTACACAGCACTTTATCAAACGGTTGTCTGCTACAGAGTTACAAGTATTATACTGATAATACAGTATCCACCATCTCCTGCTTGCATATTTCTGAAAACATCTGAGTGGTGTGGCAGCCACGAGTGAGCCCTGCAAACCCTGTGGATGGACGATGCAGTGGACAGTGGGAGGATCCTAAAGCTCTCTTTGCAGACCACCCTGTGTGATTCTCCACTCGCTGACCAGAAAAGACAAACCTCAGGTCTCAGTTGCTGCACCATCCACGTCTGATCTTCAGCAACACTGCCAGAGACTTCCTGTAATCTATTACAGTTGTAAAAGAAACGGTCCAGGATCAGGTCACTCAGCTTAATCCTGTCTGAACAACTGTAAATATTGTTTTTTCATCTTTACTGTGTATTTGAAATATTCTTGTTTAATTGTTTTTGTTATTTATTTATTGCTATCAAATAAATATCCAAGTAATATTGTTCAAAGTTATGTTCATAAATCAAATTGAGTTCAGTGACAATTACTGTTTGTTTGAATCAATTTATTAATACCATAAAACCTTCAAACCAATGCAACACATAACAAATATATTCAAATAAATACATTTCTCAGTACGTAACTCATTTGGGAACTGATCTTTCTAGAAGTGAACACAGTCGGTCCATCCTCTCCCTGCTCTCCTCTCCTCAGCCTCTCTTTGCTGCCTCATGTCCTCTCTGATGAGGTCTAGCAGCTCATCATCTTCTCCTCTTCCTCCCTGTCGTAGGTGGCTTCGTCATCGCTGTCGTTTTGGTCACCCACTGCTGTGCTTGGCCCTGGGGTGTCCTCAGGGAGAGAGGACATTAGGACAGGAGGCTTAGTGGAAGGCATCTGTCCTATCACCTCATCCATGAGGGCAAACCAGGGCCAAGCACAGCAGTGGGCTTCCCACTGACCCCTCTCCTGAGCCTGGATACTCGCAATCCTAAAGGCAGAGGAAATCAAAGATGACAGCAGGCAAATAAAAACACCACAACAACTCTTAGTAGTTGCACATTTATTAACTTGTGTTCTTAAGAATTATCTTCTTGATAACACACAGATGTACTTTGTATTTTTTAAAGTTATCTCATGTCTTCTGGCCTGCAAGGGGGTGACTTTCAGACACCAGAGGAACGCCGTGTGGACATCACAGGTCAGCAGCGGTCCGTGAGTGGTGTGGTACCGGGCCACGGGAGTTGAGGCTCCGCTGTGAAATTTATGGTTTTCAGGGGTTTTATCGTTAATGCGGTTTCCCTGGGTCTTTCCCTTGTTGTAGTTGTGCGTCTTATTTTGAAAGAAATATTTACACGTTACCATAGCGACCAGAGAGCATTAAGCGGCAGAGAGGAGGATGTTACTCTCAATGTTGGCACATTTTCAGGAGGACGCTGCTAATAAAGTTACACAATTACACAGTACATTCACGTTTGTTATTATATTTACAAAATACCAGATTTTGTCTTGGTCATTTTATGTGGTTGCATTCATCTGCGACACCTTAAAGGCTCCGTGTCTGTGGCGCAACAAAGGTTGGGGACCGCTGCTGTGCAGCATGAGGGTTAATGGGACCGCACTCATATGAATATGATGTGTAAAGTGATTTATTCTTGTACCTCCACGCCGTAGCGGCCCAATTCTTCACCCCAGTAAAGAGGTGATCGTTTTCTCCTCGTTTTAATAAATTAAGCCGTTTGGTCTTTGTTCCCCACAACATGTCACCAATTCAAAAAAATCTAAATTAGCTGTATGTAAGCGGCATTACATGAAAAACCGCGGGACCCGCGATACAAGCTGGTTTACGGTTATTTAAATAAAAGGAACATGTCTCTGCAGATGCCCAAAGCTTAACAACACGGCCGCTACAACAATTTAACTTTTGTACAACCAGATTTTATATACTTAAATTTGAAAGCGTTTTCCTCTTCGACCACCATCGTTATCAGGAACAAATCTCCTGTATGACCTGCAATGAATCCTGGGATATAGTAGGACACGAAGGATACATCGGACCCATCCTTAACATTTGGGTAAAAGTAGGACGCATTTGTCGCTCTTGAATTCGGACAGCCTTCGTCGCGTTGCTGTGAAGTCATTGCCTCCAAATATGGCATTTTAAGCATCCTTCCCCTGAATTCGGACACAGCGAGTGACTCATGGTGAAAGCAGCCATTCATCTGACCTCAGTCTCTCCTTTCCTAATGACGATGTCGCTCCGTCTATTTTGATATGACGCTCCTCCACAGCTGTGCATGTCCTCTGACTGTGAGGCCTGGGTGCTAGATGTTACCAGATGCTGTTGTTGTTGTTGCTGTGTGTTACTAGTTTTTGTTTTACCACAGGCACGAGTGTAACGATGGTCCTCCTCAGACCAGCTGCTGCTTCCTGTCACGATCAGCTGGTTCCAGGAGGAACGTTCCCTGAAATGCTTACAGAGCGTGTGTGAGACGTGCTGTTTTTATTGGTCCAGCAGCAGAAAATAAAACTGATTACATTTTGTACAAAAGTTTAAAAACATTCAGAAAAAGTCTCATCATCATCATCATCATCGTCGGTCTGACTCGACTTCGGTCAGACTGCAGGAACATGTGACTGGAAGTCATGTGTGCTGGTGCTTTAGTAAATAGCCTCGTCCATGTTGTCATCGCTGTCGCCGCCAAAATCCTCGCCGTTATCAAAGTATGACATGATGTAATCCGTCTCCTGCGGCGCCAAGAAAACATCAATTAGAGCCTCAGAAAATCCACGAGATCAATCCCATGTTATTAACAGATTAATCCCAGATTGGTTTCTGACTGGCTGCATTTTAAACCAGTTAATCCCAGTTTAGAGCAGAAGACATCCTGCAGGTGTGAACAGGACGTCCCAGTGACATCACTGAAGATGAGATTAACTACCTTTAGAGATTATCTGGGATTATTTGGTTACACCCTCGTTAGAGGAGCGTTTGAATAAACTGATCGATCTGGTCTCACCTCCTCGAACTCCTCTTCGTCGTACTCCTCCTCTCCCTCTGCCTCCTCCTCCTCCTGCTTCTTCTTCGTCTCTCCCTCCTCGTCCTCTGACGTCTCCTGCTCCTCCTTCTTCTCCAGGCTCTGGCACAGTTAAGGTGGACTCGTTAGTTTAAGGTGGAACCAGCAGGAAGCCGAAAGTAAACTTGGATCAATAAAACCCAACTCTGTGACACTTTATTAGGCACACCTTCAAACTGAATTAACGTTACAATTTTTTTTTAAACATCAAACGCTCCACGCAGCTGACAGAAACAACCAAACTCAGAAATGTGGAAAGTGACTCACAGCGAGACTAAATCCAGACTCACCTCCAGTTTGAGCAGCACCTCCTCTTTATCCTTTACACCCTTCTTCTTCATCTGAGGAGGAGGAGGAGACTGAACGGCGGCCGATACACCTGAACACACACACAGCGCACCGCTAAACACCAGACCATCACCTGTATACACGGAGTGTAATCAGAGTACAGAGTGTAATCAGAGTGTACTGACTGTCTCTGGCAGGTTGCCTGACGTGGACTCGGAGCTCTCTGGGGAATCTCTTCCAGTCTGGAAAACAGGGAGTGGTTAACAGCACTGTGTACTGCTACTGTGAAGTATTACTGTATAGTATGACTGTGTACTGCTACTGTGTACTGCTACTGTGAAGTATTACTGTATAGTATGACTGTGTACTGCTACTGTGTACTGCTACTGTGAAGTATTACTGTATAGTATGACTGTTTACTGCTACTGTGTACTGCTACTGTGAAGTATTACTGTATAGTATGACCGTTTACTGCTACTGTGTACTGCTACTGTGAAGTATTACTGTATAGTATGACTGTGTACTGCTACTGTGTACTGCTACTGTGAAGTATTACTGTATAGTATGACTGTGTACTGCTACTGTGAAGTATCTACTGTGAAGTATTACTGTGTACTGCTACTGTGTACTGCTACTGTGAAGTATTACTGTATAGTATGACCGTTTACTGCTACTGTGTACTGCTACTGTGAAGTATTACTGTATAGTATGACTGTGTACTGCTACTGTGTACTGCTACTGTGAAGTATTACTGTATAGTATGACTGTTTACTGCTACTGTGTACTGCTACTGTGAAGTATTACTGTATAGTATGACTGTGTACTGCTACTGTGTACTGCTACTGTGAAGTATTACTGTATAGTATGACTGTTTACTGCTACTGTGTACTGCTACTGTGAAGTATTACTGCTATAGTATGACCGTTTACTGCTACTGTGTACTGCTACTGTGAAGTATTACTGTATAGTATGACTGTGTACTGCTACTGTGTACTGCTACTGTGAAGTATTACTGTATAGTATGACTGTTTACTGCTACTGTGTACTGCTACTGTGAAGTATTACTGTATGTATACTGTTACTACTGTGTACTGCTACTGTGAAGTATTACTGTATAGTTGATTACTGCTAGTGACTGCTACTGTGAAGTATTACTGCATAGTATGACGTTTACTGCTACTGTGTACTGCTACTGTGAAGTATTACTGTATAGTATGACTGTGTACTGCTACTGTGTACTGCTACTGTGAAGTATTACTGTATAGTATGACTGTGTACTGCTACTGTGTACTGCTACTGTGAAGTATTACTGTATAGTATGACTGTGTACTGCTACTGTGTACTGCTACTGTGAAGTATTACTGTATAGTATGACTGTTACTGCTACTGTGTACTGCTACTGTGAAGTATTACTGTATAGTATGACTGTGTACTGCTACTGTGTACTGCTACTGTGAAGTATTACTGTATAGTATGACTGTGTACTGCTACTGTGTACTGCTACTGTGAAGTATTACTGTTACTGCTACTGTGTACTGCTACTGTGAAGTATTACTGTGTACTGCTACTGTGTACTGCTACTGTGAAGTATTACTGCATAGTATGACCGTTTACTGCTACTGTGTACTGCTACTGTGAAGTATTACTGTGTACTGCTACTGTGTACTGCTACTGTGAAGTATTACTGTATAGTATGACTGTGTACTGCTACTGTGTACTGCTACTGTGAAGTATTACTGTATAGTATGACTGTGTACTGCTACTGTGTACTGCTACTGTGAAGTATTACTGTATAGTATGACTGTTACTGCTACTGTGTACTGCTACTGTGAAGTATTACTGTATAGTATGACTGTTGTACTGCTACTGTGTACTGCTACTGTGAAGTATTACTGTATAGTATGACTGTGTACTGCTACTGTGTACTGCTACTGTGAAGTATTACTGTATAGTATGACTGTGTACTGCTACTGTGTACTGCTACTGTGAAGTATTACTGTGTACTGACTGTTACTGCTACTGTGATATTACTGTGTATTACTGTATGTACTGACTGTGTACTGCTACTGTGAAGTATTACTGCATAGTATGACGTTACTGCTACTGTGTACTGCTACTGTGAAGTATTACTGTAGTATGACCTGTTACTGCTACTGTGTACTGCTACTGTGAAGTATTACTGTATAGTATGACTGTGTACTGCTACTGTGTACTGCTACTGTGAAGTATTACTGTATAGTATGACTGTGTACTGCTACTGTGTACTGCTACTGTGAAGTATTACTGTATAGTATGACTGTTTACTGCTACTGTGTACTGCTACTGTGAAGTATTACTGTGTACTGCTACTGTGTACTGCTACTGTGAAGTATTACTGTAGTAGCTATGCTACTGTGTACTGCTACTGTGAAGTATTACTGCATAGTATGACCGTTTACTGCTACTGTGTACTGCTACTGTGAAGTATTACTGTGTACTGCTACTGTGTACTGCTACTGTGAAGTATTACTGTATAGTATGACTGTTTACTGCTACTGTGTACTGCTACTGTGAAGTATTACTGTATAGTATGACTGTGTTACTGCTACTGTGTACTGCTACTGTGAAGTATTACTGCATAGTATGACTTTTACTGCTACTGTGTACTGCTACTGTGAAGTATTACTGCATAGTATGACTTTACTGCTACTGTGTACTGTGAAGTATTACTGTGTACTGCTACTGTGTACTGCTACTGTGAAGTATTACTGCATAGTATGACTGTTTACTGCTACTGTGTACTGCTACTGTGAAGTATTACTGTGTATGTACTGTGTACTGCTACTGTGAAGTATTACTGTATAGTATGACTGTGTACTGCTACTGTGTACTGCTACTGTGAAGTATTACTGCATAGTATGACCGTTTACTGCTACTGTGTACTGCTACTGTGAAGTATTACTGATAGTATGAACCGTTGTACTGCTACTGTGTACTGCTACTGTGAAGTATTACTGTTAGTATACTGTACTACTGTGTACTGCTACTGTGAAGTATTACTGATAGTATGACTGTGTACTGCTACTGTGTACTGCTACTGTGAAGTATTACTGTATAGTATGACTGTGTACTGCTACTGTGTACTGCTACTGTGAAGTATTACTGTATAGTACTGACTACTGTATGTTACTGCTACTGTGAAGTATTACTGTATAGTATGACTGTTACTGCTACTGTGTACTGCTACTGTGAAGTATTACTGATAGTATGACTGTTACTGCTACTGTGTACTGCTACTGTGAAGTATTACTGTATAGTATGACTGTGTACTGCTACTGTGTACTGCTACTGTGAAGTATTACTGTATAGTATGACTGTGTACTGCTACTGTGTACTGCTACTGTGAAGTATTACTGTGTACTGCTACTGTGTATGCTACTGTGAAGTATTACTGTATAGTATGACTGTTTACTGCTACTGTGTACTGCTACTGTGAAGTATTACTGATAGTATGACCGTTTACTGCTACTGTGTACTGCTACTGTGAAGTATTACTGTATAGTATGACTGTTACTGCTACTGTGTACTGCTACTGTGAAGTATTACTGTATAGTATGACTGTGTACTGCTACTGTGTACTGCTACTGTGAAGTATTACTGTATAGTATGACTGTGTACTGCTACTGTGAAGTATTACTGTATAGTATGACTGTTACTGCTACTGTGTACTGCTACTGTGAAGTATTACTGTATAGTATGACTGTGTACTGCTACTGTGAAGTATTACTGTATAGTATGACTGTGTTACTGCTACTGTGTACTGCTACTGTGAAGTATTACTGCATAGTATGACCGTTACTGCTACTGTGTACTGCTACTGTGAAGTATACTGTATAGTATGACTGTGTACTGCTACTGTGAAGTATTACTGTATAGTATGACTGTTACTGCTACTGTGTACTGCTACTGTGAAGTACTACTGTATAGTAACTGTGTACTGCTACTGTGTACTGCTACTGTGAAGTATTACTGTATAGTATGACCGTTTACTGCTACTGTGTACTGCTACTGTGAAGTATACTGTGTACTGCTACTGTGTACTGCTACTGTGAAGTATTACTGTATAGTATGACTGTTTACTGCTACTGTGTACTGCTACTGTGAAGTATTACTGTATAGTATGACATTTACTGCTACTGTGTACTGTTACTGTGAAGTATTACTGTATAGTATGACTGTTTACTGCTACTGTGTACTGCTACTGTGAAGTACTTACTGTATAGTATGACTGTGTACTGCTACTGTGTACTGCTACTGTGAAGTACTACTGTATAGTATGACTGTGTACTGCTACTGTGTACTGCTACTGTGAAGTATTACTGATAGTATGACCGTTTACTGCTACTGTGTACTGCTACTGTGAAGTATTACTGGTACTGCTACTGTGTACTGCTACTGTGAAGTATTACTGTATAGTATGACTGTGTACTGCTACTGTGTACTGCTACTGTGAAGTATTACTGTATAGTATGACGTTTACTGCTACTGTGTACTGCTACTGTGAAGTATTACTGTATAGTATGACTGTGTACTGCTACTGTGTACTGCTACTGTGAAGTATTACTGTATAGTATGACTGTGTACTGCTACTGTGTACTGCTACTGTGAAGTATTACTGTATAGTATGACTGTGTACTGCTACTGTGTACTGCTACTGTGAAGTATTACTGTATAGTATGACTGTGTACTGCTACTGTGAAGTATTACTGTGTACTGCTACTGTGTACTGCTACTGTGAAGTATTACTGTATAGTATGACGTTTACTGCTACTGTGTACTGCTACTGTGAAGTATTACTGTATAGTATGTACTGTGTACTGCTACTGTGTACTGCTACTGTGAAGTATTACTGTATAGTATGACGTTTACTGCTACTGTGTACTGCTACTGTGAAGTATTACTGTATAGTATGACTGTTACTGCTACTGTGTACTGCTACTGTGAAGTATTACTGTATAGTATGACTTTACTGCTACTGTGTACTGCTACTGTGAAGTATTACTGCATAGTATGACCGTTTACTGCTACTGTGTACTGCTACTGTGAAGTATTACTGATAGTAGATACTGCTACTGTGTACTGCTACTGTGAAGTATTACTGTATAGTATGACTGTGTACTGCTACTGTGTACTGCTACTGTGAAGTATTACTGTAAGTATACTGGTCTTACTGTGTACTGCTACTGTGAAGTATTACTGTATG